GGGAATGCCTCGGCGTTCCCAGGCCAGCCGAGCCCGGAGGAGCTGGAGGAAGTGTCTGGAGAGAGGGAAGTCCGGGCATCTTTGCTTAGACTGCTGCCCCTGCGACCCGGTCCCGGATAAGCGGAGGAAAATGGATGGATGGATGGACATTGCAAAGTGTAATGTGAGTGTAACACTGCAAAACAAGGAATTCAACACAGTACTGAGGCTGAATTCGAGGTTATCACTAAAGAGTACATGCACAGAAAAGACAGTAGATGGCAGTGTGGGATCCGTATTCACAGGAAGCAGTTGACTTATTTTTCCTTTTAGTCCGTGTGTGCGTGCGCGCGCATGTGTGTGTGTACTTTCTCGGTATGTTTAATGTGAACTTGTGTCTTCTGGCCTGACAGTCAAATTTCCACAGGAGGAAAAAAAAAGAGAGAGTAATCTTGCTGATATCAGAAATCTACCTGAGAGAGCTCATTGACAAGCTAAATATCCCCATAAATAAAGGGTTACAATGTGCCCAAAGCCATCTGCAGATGCAGTGAAACTATGAAATCACAGCAACATCCACGCTGTACAACAGCACCTCTGCCTGTTTCTCACCATTTCCTCTGTCAGGTACCAGCCATCTCTCTGGCCTATGAGGTAGCAGAAAGTGACATTATGAAGCGCCAGCCTAGAAACCCACTGAGAGACAAACTGGTTAATGAGAGACTCATCAGTATCGCCTATGGACAGATCGGTAGGGGCCATTTGTTTTCTGTCTTCCCACAAAGTCCAAAATATTCTGTGCATCCTTGGGGTGTATAGGATTTTATTTACTCACATTCACCTAGTTAATGAATGATCAAACTATTTCTGCAGGTATGATCCAAGCTCTTGGTGGTTTCTTTGCCTATTTTGTCATCATGGCTGAAAATGGGTTTCTGCCATCTGTGCTTGTCGGCATCCGCCTCAACTGGGATGATCGCTCCACCAACGATTTGGAGGACAGCTACGGGCAGCAATGGGTATGAGTCATTCTGTTCTCCTGTTTCATTTATTTTCACTTGCACTGGGGAGCTGTGTGGCTTGGTGTGTTCACAGTATGCACAGTCGCACTGTATTGGGTCGGTCATACAAACGCACAGCTCCCAAAATATTTCCACTACAAGGAGGTTGATGGTAATCTCTGAATGATGGTAACCCCCAGTACAAGGAGTTTGATGGTAATCTCTGAATGATGGTAACAGTAACAGCAGACAAAGTCGGTCTTAATCGCACGGAAAAGCATCCACTTCCTCCTTGGCTCAATCTTTTGTGCCAAATTCACACAGAGCAGACAGATGCTCTAAGGATTATACCTTCTTTTGCTCCTTACAGACCTATGAGCAGCGTAAGATTGTGGAGTTCACTTGCCACACAGCCTTCTTTGTCAGTATTGTGGTGGTGCAGTGGGCAGACGTCATCATCTGCAAGACCAGACGTAACTCTGTGTTCCAGCAGGGAATGAAGTAAGTACAAAATGATCTCAGTGATGCTGCACCACCTTATCATCAGTTCAGTACATGAAGGCCTCAAACTCTGGATGCCCAGAGCTGATGTCTGCTGTTGATCCACTACAGCATCAAACACTGTCTTATTCTATAATATTTAAAAGCATCATTGTCTTTATACTTTCATGAGACATTAGCTTACTTTTTGCATACAGAGCAAGAGTCTGGTACCACTCACAGCCAGGGTCAGGAACACAGATCTTTTCTCTGCAGTACAGTGTCAGTTACGAACATGTAAGCTTGACATTTTTAGGTGAAATCTCAGTATAGAAGACCAGAATGGGGACGATGGTGTCAATGAGGCATGGCTGTGGGCGTTGCCACTTCCCACAGCTGCCACTAGATGTCACTGGAAAACCAGGTTTCCTGAGACACCTGTAATTTATGGGCTCTGTGGTATATGTTTGTTTGGTCCACCCCCTCCCTCCATCTTGTCTGCTTTTCCTTGTCTGACCTCTCCCCTTGCCCTGTATTGCAGGCAGCATTTATAGTCCAGACACACAGATACTGGTGTTACTACACCTGTCCTCATATTCTGCCTGCACTCAGTCAACTTTGAAGCCATTTTCCATTTCAAAAGTAGATGTAGATACTAAGCGATGCAGCCCTTTGTTTAGAGAAGTGTAATAGAGAAACACAAATCCCATCCTGTTCTGTCACAGGAGATCCCTGCCCTATCCCTATCTTCTGATCTGTCACTTTTGCCTGCCTTTATCCGTCCTTTCTACAGTATGTTTCCCATAATTAACTTTTTTTCTTTCTGCATTTTCTCCTGCAGGAATAAGATTTTGATCTTTGGCCTGTTTGAGGAAACGGCTCTGGCTGCTTTCCTGTCCTACTGCCCTGGCATGGATGTGGCACTACGGATGTACCCTCTCAAGTAAGTAACATTACACACTGATTAGGAGCAGGGAGGGAATCAACACATCATCACAGTACCAGGATGTACAGTCCTGTTTACCTTCAAGGGGTATGAATTACAAGGACTATGTTTTGTCCTTTAAGACCTTTGTACAGTCTTGACTGAAGCACTACTCTCACCCTGTCCATCACTCCCTCCTGTTCTCTCTCAGGCCCAGCTGGTGGTTCTGTGCATTCCCATACAGTTTCCTCATCTTTGTTTACGATGAGATTCGAAAACTCATCCTTCGCCGAAACCCTGGAGGTAAGATCACACACAAGTACACTCACAGAAAAGATGGATTTATTGTCCTGGTGCTGGCAAAGAAAAATGTTTATGTACTCACAAAGTAACATTTTGCTCACATTATTAAGCAGACATAATATTTCAGTACACATACATTTGTAGCATTATTACGCTTACGTTTGCATAACGGTATGGATTTCTAAAGGGTAAAGAAGAAATAAGCAACGGTGTTAACTACCACTGGCTACTTTGTGCAGGATAACATCATGTAGAGCTTTATTACATCCTCTTTATCCTCTTTACAGTATATACAGCAGTGTTAATCAGTAAATTAAATCCTTTGATAGGTAACGTTCTCTTTCTCTCTCTCTTTTTTCCGACTTCCCCTTTTTTTATCCCCTTTGTTTCTGCAGGCTGGGTGGAAAAAGAGACGTACTATTAAATTATCAAAGCATCATTTACTTCTCCCTCTATCCCTTCTTCTGTCTCCCTCTCTTTCTTTCCTCCTTCCCTTCATCTATCCCACCTCTCCTCTCAGCATACTCAAACTGTACAAGAAAACATTTTACTCCTCCTCTCCATCCTCATCTCCTAAAGAAACAAACAAAAAAAAAAAACGCCAAGATGACGAGAGGAACGATGACAGAGGAGGAGAGGATGGGGGCGGGGCCGGGTTTGTAGATCTTTCCCTGTCCTCTCCGTCCCTCTGTTTCCTTGTTTTTCTATCCAACATTTCCACAGCACTAATCTGCCAGTAACAATGTTTGTGCCGATGCTTATTGCTACACTGTTAGCTGCAGCTGCTCATCATGTGTGTACTCAAACTGCACCACTGTGTGGAACTGAATAAAGATATAATACTAAGAAGAATAAAGACAAACACCTGACTGTTCCACTGCCATCACTCTTGCCAAGCAGAACAACAACATGGCAGCTCCCGTCTTGACTCCCAACTGGCGATTTGAGCCGCTGGGTGGTATCTTTTTTGTGTTTTCTGGGAAAAGCCGCCCAGACCCAGCTCTCCGGTCACTGCCATTTCCCACCATTCTTCCACTTCTCTACTTCTTTTCCCTCCGTTTGTCTCTGTTAAATCTGCCAGTCTTCTACTGCCATTCTCTCTCCCGCCTCCTCTCATATCGATGAAGAATCAATCTCGCCATAAAACTGACACGCTCGCCCACGTGCAACGTCAGCGGGGTGGCAAAATAAAGCTCACTTCCTTTCTCTGCCTCCCCCCATCCTCCTTCCTGTGTATTTATTCTGCTTGTGTTGTTGTTTTCTAATAGACAACTGGGTGTTTTTTTAAAATGTTCATAAAGTTTTTTAAGTTTGGAGTGGGTCTGAGAGCTGCTTGTTTTCATTCAGACATGACAAAGCACACTGGCTGTCCCTCTCTCTTCTTCTTTTCCCCTCACACTCCTCCTCTACCTCCCCCGTCCTCACCCTGCCTGTTTATCTGTCCCTGTTTGTCTCTGTGTGAACACCGTGCAAACCCTCCATCCTTGTGAACTTCCACCCACTCAGACTACCAGCCTCCTCTTATTCTCCCACCCTCAACCTGCCTGAAACCTCCCTCCTCAACCCCACCCAAACCTCACCCCTGTTAAAAAAAAATAAAATAAAATAAATACAATCTTTCTGTGTCCTCGGAAAAAGAGATTTCTCTCTAATTTCTTTATCTAAATCTGTGGGAATATGGAACAAGGCACTGTACCTTAACATGCAAAACATCAGCAAAAAAAAAGGAAAAAAGAAATAAACTAGGATCTCTTTTTTTTCAGCTTGGTCTCAACTTTTTGTTTTTTGTCAGAAAATGGAAATAAACGCTGTGACCAACTCTTACTTGTGGCAGTGGTGTGATCTCATCTGTCAATTGAAATATGAACATATTGCATGTCTATACACGAGTACACGACATGTTATGGCTCAGGTTTATTGGAGGAACATGGTTTTACTGTAGATGGAAGATTTTGGTCCATAATAAAACTATTGTATTTTCAGGAAAATGGACTTGACAGAACGGTCTCTCCACCAGGGTCATGTAGTGGCTGTATCATATGATCTTACTTGGCAAATGGGGTTTTTGCACAGTTGTGGAAATGTAAATGTTCAAATTTCTTTCTTCATCACTTATGTTATTATGGTGTACTTGTTAGCAAACAGTGGCTTATTCCTACACCGATCAGCCATAACATTTTGACCACCTGCTTAATACCGTGTCACAGGAGAGAGTGCGACAGTTGGTTGGTACTCGTTTCACTCTGCAGCTCACTGTGCATCCTCTGTGAATCTGTTTGCTTCCACAGTTCTACTGTCGGGAGGAGAGTGAGCATGATGAGCTCGATCTGCTGTAGATTAAACTTCTAAAAATATTGAAGCCAGTGTGTGTAAACAAGCAGATATGAACGCTGCAATTTTACAAAATTGGACAATTTCCAATTAAAATATGAACAATGCATTTACAAGAAAGCGAACTGAGTTGAGCTTAGCTGACCTGACTGGACTTCCCAGCTCCTCTACAGCCAAAGTTTTGACATTGAGAAGCATTTGTCTCTGGAAGTGATTAGAAGCCCCTCTGAACGGGAGATGTCATGATCCTGACGCACTCACTTCACCAGGAGGAACCTGCTGCATGGCTCTGTCTGCACCAGAGGCGCAGCTGCACCCCTCTGTGATCCGTAGTGGTCACAGACGCGCTCTGTTGGCTCTGGTCCGTGACTCTTCAACGGGCTGTCAGCTCCCAGATAGCGAGGTGCATTGAGTAGGTCGGAGTTCTTCTTCATCCACCGTATCAGTTCCTCTTTTTTCACCTGAGTTATCAATGCCATAGCAACCATCTGGGCTTTTTAGTAGCCTATAACTAACTTTAAGTTAAGTGGGTTCTAATCTGTCAAAATGACGGACAGCCTTCAGATTTTTCCATCATTAATAAAACAATTCAGTCAATTATGGAAAATATTCAGTTAGCAGAAGCTCTTGTGTAGGGCATCACCATATTGCTCTGCCATTTGATACATAAAAACCATTTATACGTAGAAAGGTGTGTACCATCAAGTGTACCCTTGAAGGAAGTGGTGTGAATGAACAGGTTTTAATATCAGTGTCTTATGCCAAAATAATATAGCCTGTTGCAAAACTTTTAAATGACTGTATATTTAATATACAGTATTGTACTTACATGGCATCACATGGCTTATTACTCCATTATTATTACCCTTGTCAAAACAAAAACCTAGTTCAACTTGTACATTAACTGCAGTAAAAATGGTAACGAACCACCCAGAGTAAAAACTGCCAGAGACTTGTTTTGGGTTCCATAGTTTTCAGGCTGATACTTGTGAACACACTAGTGTTTATATGCATGTCCACACCCACACACTGAGTGCAATGGTGTGTGTTTCATGAATACTATTACAAGGCTCACGGAGCAAATGAGTGGCCTGGCCCACTTCTCACACACACACACACACACACACACACACACACACAGAGCTCCGTCTAACCCCAGGATATAGGTCACCTTGTTTGTGACTTCATTGTTTTCTTCTCCTGTTTCTCTCACTCAGACGTTACCTATTACTATATCATCCTGCTGATCACTGACTACAGTTAGATACACTCAGACAGCTGTTTACCAGCAGGTCACTACTATTAAAGTCTACAGGCCGTCACCTCTAGATAGTAACTTTTCCTCACATCAGTAGTAAAGGTTAATAGGACAGTTAACATGCCTGACCATAGATTTACTAAACATATTGACCCAGATACCCAACAGTACTTCAGATTGTAAGCCTATAAGCTAACAGGCTACACCGTAACCAGCTGCAGCTTTAAATGCGACGAACAACAATGCATCAATAGGTATAATCCAATAATTTGATATAAAATGTTCTATTCTGCATAATGAGTGCTTTTACTTTTGGTACTTTATATTTTGATGCCAGTACTTTTATACTTTTATTTGCGTAGTGTGAATGCAGGACTTGTAACAGAGTATGCTGCATAAACGATACGAGTACTTTTTCCACCAGTGCCTCTGTATAACCTAGGTAGGATGTTGTACACGCTTGCTGGGCAGTTTTGGGTGTGTGACACTAGAGTCACTCACTTTACTGGGTGTGTCCTTTCTAAATCCTCATTTGGACAAACAGCATCTCCTTTTGCAAAATCAACATTTGGAACTTTTTACCCACAGATTGACGATGGATCATAACAGGGATCGCTGTGGTTTTTTTATCATTGTCAGTCTGCTGTTTATTTTGTGGCATTTCATTGTTCCATTGTCCTGTGAAGTGTGTTTTGTGTCGTTTTGCAGTGGTGGAAAGCAGCCGAATGCATTTACACTATGTATAAGTACAGCTGCAGTGTATTTGCATGAGTGGTTCCATTTGGTGCTACTCAACACTTTGATTTCACTACTGTTAAGACTTTTTACTAGCTGTGTACTTTAGAATTTAGGATTAACACTACAACACACAGCGCAGTCATAAGACTTCACTGATCTAAGCTACCCAGCAGTATGTAAAGTACTTGAAATTATAATGATAAAATTCAGTATGGTCAACAGAACAGCCCGTTAGGCAGTTAAAACTAGCTCCACCATTAAAAATTAATGCAGTAATGCATCAGTAATTTAATTTCAGTAATGTGAAATGTGCGATTATACTCAGTATTTGAAGTATTTACTGGTGATAACACTTTTATACTTTTAAGTAAAATCTTGAATGTAGGACTTCCTTGTAACAGAGTATTTCTACACAGTGGTATTGCTACTTTTAATTAAGTAAAGGTACTGAGTACTACTTCCACCTGTTTATATTTTCCTGTTGAGTTGTGTGAATTATAAAGGCCCACGTAGGCAGAGTACTGCAACCTGCTGCAGTATGAGGCAGTGGTTCATGCTTTGTTTCGCCCAATACAAATAAACATTAAATAAAAACACTGCATTCACAGACACACACACACACACACACACACACACACACAGAGCCTGGAAGACCCTAACAAACATCTGTTAGAATGGAGAAAGAGCTGGTGCCTCCACTCGACTCATTATGACACACGACACATCCTTTTCTTATCCGCCATAACAACCACGCTAAAACTCTTTTCCTCTGACACACACACACCTTTTCTCAATCTTCTCCCCACTTACACTCTCAGCCCCCCCTCCACCGCTTTCTTCCAAATCACACACACACACCTTCTCCCAATCTCCTACCCGATTACACCCGCACGCTAAAACCCCTTTTTGCACACCTCCCCTACACACTCCTCCCCTAAAACCCTTTACGTTTCCTCTGACACACACACACACACACACACAGGCTCTCTTTTTTGTCATCCCCCCATCCTCCCCGTTCTTCCTCCCTCCTCTCAGTAATCTGGCTGGCCCGTGGCCTCCTCTCTCTCGCTCCACTGTTCTGTGTGATAGAATATCGATCGGTTTGCCTCGGCTCGTTGTGGAGCAGGAGGAGGGGGCGGCTGTAGGGCTATAGGGAGTGTGCGCGTGTGTGTGTGTGTGTGTGTGTGTGTGTGTGTGTGTGTGTGTGTGTGTGTGTGTGTGTGTGTGTGTGTGTGTGTGTGTGTGTGTGTGTGTGTGTGTGTGTGTGTGTGTGTGTGTGTGTGTGTGTGTGTGTGTGTGTGTGTGTGTGTGTGTGTGTGTGTGTGTGTGTGTGTGTGTGTGTGTGTGTGTGTGTGTGTGTGTGTGTGTTGATATGGGGGGCAGTGGTCAGACATGCTCCAAGGTTGTTACCACAGCAACAGCAGGATGGGTCACAGGGTTGCCATGGCGCCTAGGTCGCAGGGTCAGGGGGAGGGTCCTGGCGGCCTCTGTTCTCTCCCTGATATATATATATATATTTATATGTGTGTGTTAATAGGAAGGGAGAGGGCAGGCGAAGGAGAGCTGTGTCCAGTCCAGCTATATTGGGTGTGTTAATAATGAATGGTGCTGTATGTAGTCGCTGTCTCTCTCCCTCTATCTGTGTCTCTCTTTTCCTCTGTCACAATAATATATGAAGCATCAGCTCAGTTCGAGTCCAGCTTATTTTATTTAGTTAAATAAACTTTAATACTTTTGTCACCGTGCACCCTAGAAGTCTAGATTAAAAACCAGTGACGCTGCAGATTTTTTTTTTTTAAATGTAGCATCACATCTGCATTTCAGAGAGCGCTGACACACACATCAGCTTAGGTAACATACGATTGGAAAGCAGATAAAGAAACATTAAATATACAACGAGAACAATGTCAGCAGCTTCCATGTCTTTTATTTCATCTGATATTAATGTTCCCTGTGGACAGATTCCACATGTACAGCTAATAAAATGCATCCATATAAAAACAGAAGGCCATACTGTGACAGTTCCTAAGGAACTTTATTTTGGTCTCATATGTCACCTCACACTTTTTTATTTTACCTTTATTTAATGATGTGGCTGTGATCGCTGCACCAGTTATAACATACACGGTCTAAAACTCTAAATATAAATGTTTTCTAAAAAGATAAAATGCAGCTGTAGTTTTTACATTTAGAGTCTCAAAACTGGATTTGAGTGTTTTTAATTTTAAGTATATCAGCTTCTTTATTTCAATGTCCATCTTTATTTAACAGTTCTGCCTATGATACAGTGTATCATAGGCATCAATTAGGATTTTTTAAAAATTAGAGGATATTTGGTATTATTTAATTAATTAGGTGATTTAAAAAGCGCTCACCTATTTGTCATCCAACAGAGGAGT